GACTGAAGCTGTCACGGGCGGCCGCCGGGTGCTGAAACCGCACCCACTGCTTCGCCGCCCGCGAGGAGGGGTGGGAGCCGGATGGTCAGGCAGGGACTATGCACGGGGATTGGGTGAAAGAGGCGCTGTGCGCCATCGTGCTCCTGTTGACGGGCCGCACATGTACACAGACTTTCGTTTAGATGTAGACGGCAGCCAGCCGCTCGTGATCGCCGCAGGCGCCCTCCTGCGGGACTAGCTCGTGTTGAGTAGCTCGTGCCTAGCTTCTTGCACTCCTCCTGGCTTTCGCAGCCGGCCGTGACACATGCCTGATCCCCTGAGCAGTGCGTGCCCCGCGCCCGGCGCTTGCATTTGGGCGCGCCCCCTTGTAATTGCATGTACAATGCACCTGGTGTCTGCGAGCCACCACCCAATTGGTGACGGTGGAGGCTCGTCATAAGGCCGGCGCAGGGCTCATGCCAGGGCTTGGGATAGGCGTTTCGCCAGTGGCTCCTCTGACAGGTGCACGAGTCCAAGGAAGGCATGCATTGCCAGGTGGCAGCTGCGCACCTGCGATCGCCTCAAGCATCAAGCAAATGGTGGTTGCTCGTTGACAGGAGTTGTTTGGTTCTTGTGCTTTCGACTTGTGCTTTCGCAAAGGAGGCCTCCTGCACGGCATAGATCGCCGAACTGTACAGTGTCAACGGCCCTAATAAGAGTGATCAAAGCACTTTCAACAGCTTGCCACAATGGGGGACGCCGTAGCCAAGGGTGCGCGTACAGTGGTCCCAGCGGAAGCGCTGTTGCCTCGCATGGGGCTGCTTGCGGCCGTAGATCACTGTAAAAGCATTCATATAGCCACGATTGCAAGCATCTGGCCGATCTGGCTGCACATGGACGCGGGCTCGTGGTTTCGCTCTCGCAACAGGCGACTCCTTCATGGCGCAAGCTGACAAGAAGCTGAAGAGCTTTGGGTTCTTTGGTAACAAGTACGAGGAGGCTGCTGAGCTTCTGGAGAAGGCGGCGAATAACTACAAGCTCGGCAAGGTGCGCCGCTGGCGCCGCGTGTGCTGCGACATGCAAGTGTCCGTCGGGCCCATAGTGAGGACGTCACTTAAGCAAGCAGAGAGCGGCACAGCCAGCGTATAATTGCAGTGACTGAAGCCCACAAGCGGCTGTCAGAGTGTCGGGTGGCAGAACGCCATGTTTTGACACCGCCGGGCGAGGCCACCCCGACTGAGCCAATTGCTTGCGGGATACCCGCGTTGTTTGCGGCGCTGCAGGCGTGGAAGCCAGCGGCCGAGGCCTACCGGCAGCTGGCGGCGGTGCATGTGAAGACGGACAGCAAGCACGACGCGGCGAGCAGCTACGTGGAAGGTGCCAAGGCGCTCATGAAGGTCGCGCCAGCAGAGGCGGTCGTGCTGCTGCAGCAGGTGGGGGGGGGCGTTTTGGAGGGGGGGGATGCGCGCTGGGTTCATACCTGCGTGCATATGGCAGGTCAGGTGGCTGCTGTTGAATGGCAACAGGCGCAGCCCGCAGCCCCGGCCAGTCCAGCGCAGGGACGCTGGGGTGGCAGGTGGCCCCGGCGGATCTGACGGCCTCACGCGGGCCGCCTCGCATCGATGACATTCTGATGCGTCCCTGCTGCGTGTGCATAGGCGGGCCGCCCTGCCAACACCAACAGCGGCTGGCGTCAGCGTTGTCCCTTGCTGCCCGACCTCGGAAGTCGCTCTGGTGGAGTGGCGCTGTGCGAGAATCGCAGAGGCACACCCAGATACGCGCATGCGCCGCACACAGATGTACACATACACACGCACTCACAGACACACACACACACACACACTCGCATGAATTTGTGCTTCCTCATCCTGGTCAATTCTGGTCAAAAGGCTGTTGAGGTGTACACCGACATGGGGCGCCTCAACATGGCGGCGCGCCAGCTCAAGGAAATCGCAGAGGCGCAGGAGAAGCAGGGCCTCAAGGACGAGGCGGTCACCTTCTACAGCCAGGTGACGCCACGGGTTAAACCGCGGGTGACGCCGGTCACGGCAGCCGCGCAGTGAGACGCGGCCGTGACTCTTGATGGTGCTAGCGGCAGGGATGGGCGTGGAGGGCAGCTGAATGCGAAGCACGGCTGCATGAGGGCGCGCTGTGGCTGCACTTTGCCGCGCCCAGCAACAACCGTCCCTTGACTCTCGCAGGCCGCCGATCTGTTTGCGACGGAGAACAGCAGCAGCGAGGCCAACAAGTGCCGCCTCAAGGTGGCCGAGTTCAGCGCTGAGCTGGACAAGTGAGGAGGGGGAGTAGAGGGAGGGGGTGGCGCGGTTGAGGTGGGGCGCCGGGGCTGCATGGTCGGGCAGCCGGGGATGTTTGAGGAAGGGCCAGAGCACGTAAGAGTGAGGGACGGCGCGGAGTAGAGACCGCCTGCAGGTCCAGCTGGGGTGGCCGGCCACCGCAGCAGCAACCTCCTCGCTCGCTGCTATGCGCGAAAACGCCTCCCATTCCATCACTCACCCTGCCCTGCCCTGCGCGGCGCGGCGTGCCGCGGTACCTTCGTGTTACCACAACAGATTTGCAGACGCCGCCGCAATCTACGAGGACGTGGCGCGCGCCGCCGCGGAGAACAACCTGCTGCGCTTTGGCGCGCGCGGGCACCTGCTGTGCGCGGGCGTGTGCGTGCTGTGCTACGCGAGCGACGACGACGTGCGGGCGCGGATAGAGCGCTACAA